AGTTCGATGGAATTGTAGGCTATCTAAACATCTTCAGACATCTGAAAGTTTGTTCCAAAGACTTAAGGACAGCATACTTTATTTTCCTGGCAATATTATGAGGTAGATGAAATGGTGAGATGGGACTGTCCCAAGGCCTAGCAGTGAGCTTCTTGCCTATGGATATCTGTGCATTTTTACCCACATCTCTCTGCTTTTATTCAAGGACTTTAGGTTCTTCTACACCTAGGCCTACCAAAGAACCATATCACCACTCTTTGTACATACGAAGCAGAGCAGTTTCAGAAGACTCAAACAAAAAACCCTTTGGAGTGCTCTATGGATTGGATACAGACCCTATTGTAGATACAGTAAATCCATTGAAATCAATGAAACTGAAGACACGACTACCATAGGTCCCACTAGCTTCACATGCTTGCCCTAAGTCTGATTAAATTTTAGAGAACCGCTGTGGTGTAGTGGTTAAGCGTGCAGGACTAGGACTCAGGTGGTCTGGGTTCTAGTCCCCTCTTGGCCATGTAGACAACTGGGCCATGGATGCTCAGCCCAACCTATTTCATAGGGTTGTTGTTATGCGTATGAGATTGAGAGCAGCAGGAGGAAAATGACGTAAGCCACTTTGAGTTCGTTGTATGAAAAAAATGCAAGAGAATGAATGAATGAATGAATGAATGAATGAATGAATCATGCTCACCGAGTGACCCTATTTGGAGAGTGTGGGTCTCAGCACCATGGACAGCTCCTTTAAAGTTCAAGCTGGGCTCCAGAGAGGATGTGGTGTCATACTGCTACTGGAGCCACCAGCCTCCACTGATAGGGGGACATCCCTAACAGGATTGTGACACCAGGTATGTATGTGGTGTGTGCAATATGACTCAGAATGGAGGAAAATCATAAGACATTTATTTTGTGGATGCCTTTCATATATTCCCTATCAGTTGAAAGAGGGAATGCAATGAATTCTCATTGTAGAACTTGCAGGGTAGAAAATGTCTTTTCAAGGGTGCGAAATAACTTGAAATGTTAAAGGGAACACCTCAACTTTGCATTCTTGCACAAGGTGAATGCCTTTGTGTTATACCAACCCAATGGTATCAATGGTTTCTTTGAAATCTGAAAATCATGAATATGAAAAAAAGAGTGATCTACAGTGGAAGTATTTGTGCTGTTGTTCAGCTGATGATGATGAAAGAGCCCAACAATATTCAGCAAGAAGAAGCCACCAGGTCTTTTGTAAGAAACAGTAGATGTCAATTGTCATATTTTTCAAGAAATTAAATTTAAACAATATATTCCCAAGTCGAAGTGACAAACGTTTCCCTTAAAAGCTGACAAATAATCGCAATTACATTTAAGCTGCTTACATAGCACATGTCATTTTAGAAGATTACTGTACAGGATTTCTAAACTCTTCTTGCCAATGCACTTCTCACTTTGTGCTACTATTATTTTAAGGAATGTCCCAGTATATCTGTTTCATCCCTAGCCTGAATAAAATAGTGCAATCAGTCATTCAGTCTCTTTCCACAGTTCTGCATCATGGTTCTCTCTTCAGTTCAGGCCGTGGCTCCTTTTTTTCCTTTTCTGCATGACATTCTGGCATAATTACATTTTTCAGTTGGTCTAATTTTAGTCCTTATGCTTCAAGGAGATGCTATTGTATTGTGAAACTCACTTTCCTTTAACTCTGTAAGGGCACAAACTTATGCGTGTTCAGACAGGAAAGGGTCCTGCTACTCACAACATTCTTTCGCCAGCCATGACTGAAGGATGCTGAGAACTGTAGTGCTCTTTTTCACTGAAACATGCATAGGGTTGTATGCATGAGCAAACATTGTATAGACAAGTATTGTATATTGCATATATTCAAAAGGGCGGAGCTGCAAAATTTCTTTCCACTCATCTTCCATTCTACACAATTTACTTTAAGGAAAGGATGATAACAATTTTGGGGAGGTTTCCAATTCAGTTCTAAAGGTTCAGGAAGCAACTATAGCCTAATTTAGAAATGGTTAAATTGTTGGCAAGCAATTCATCTTTCCTATATACAAGTGCCAACACTAGTTATCTTTCAACAACTTTGAATGCTTTCATATCCCATAGAAAAGGAAGATGTATATACCAACATTTTAATACAATGTATTTATATGATTCAGTAAGTAGAATAAGGATAAGTCTTCAGTGGGAAGTTTGCAATTCACTTTACCCATGCAATTTCATTTTATGTTTCAGATTACTGGAATTACCAATTCCAATTCAGGGCATTATAATTTATCTTTATACATTGCATATTCTTATTTATGTGTACTTCTCACTGAAGATATCACCAGATTAATAAGAATTGCATAGCTGATCTGGAAATAAGATTATTTGAAAAGACCTAAAGTCACAAAAATAGTGAAATTAGCATGGGCAAGAAAATTGTGAAACTTACATTTGAACGAATGAAGGTTCTGAGTCTTGTTCTTGTTCCAAGTAAATAAAACGTTTTTAAAATGTTGCCGGACCACAGAAACTGACACACGGCACTTATGACATAAACGTGTATGATCTGCTGCCATTTTATCTAAGCCACCTTACCCTAACATTGGTCTTTCAATTTTATAGTAATTAACACCTCTTAACTGTTACATTTGGCTTACAGTATGTCTCCTAATTTTGTGTGTTGTTTGAAAATTGTAAAGATGCATGATTGTGCTGTTTCTGTTCAAGTGGTTTCTAATTACTCTTTTCACTGTCCAGTGTTCTTTCAATAAGGGTACCTACCACAATACCTAAGTTGTTTTAGAGAATGGGAAGTTTCTATGTTTGGCTATTGGCAAACTGCACAATTTTGGAAGAAACTAAATCAGTAGAGTAACCCTTTTTCTCTCTTTAGCAAACCGAAGCGACTGTGTAAAAAGCTTTGTTTCTTTTTTACTGAAAAACATTCAACATATTTCTCAGTTTGGAATTCACAGAACAATCTGAGTAGCTCAACCTGTGTTCCAACTGTTAGAAAAAACTATGTTGCAGGAATAGACTGATTGATTTTGTCATGATCCTAAATCCACGTGAGCATTAACATCTAGCAATCACAGGACTCATCCATTCTCTTAGAAACTGCCTATTACCCACAAAATGCCATCTCTATTCACAGAAAAAGAATAGATCACACATGCGCATACAAAGCACATTATGTATACCAAGGCTGCATACTCTTCAAGAAAACATTGGTCCAATGGAAGCAGTATTCCCCCACAATGCATTTCACCTGTTCTCCATTCCATTTAGAGTGTCTGTCCCATCTTCAAGGCCACTGTCCCAAGAGCACCTCAGGTCCCAGATGACCTGGCTGTTATCCCAGAGAAAATTTGGAAATGAATGATGAATGATGGGACTTTACAAATTGGACTCTATATATGTGCACTCGAATGAAGCTTTGCATTCGTTTGAAGTTGCTCAGAGGTCTCTGAGGTGAAGGAATGTGTTGGCAGCATGAGAAGGTACACAATTGCTTCCCAGTATGGGAGTCTGACAAGAGTACCTCTTGGCCTGGATAAGGAATTAGCAAAATTCCTGTCCTTCTGTGGCAAGAAATGAGTGGAAGGGCTTCTTTCCTACAAGTATATTGCAAGGTGTTCCATGTCAAGGAGTTATGCACACAGACACAGCAGTCGAATGGCAGGCTAAGCCTAATCCCCTAATTAAACCAATTAAACCAACCCAAACATTCAATTTCAAAAGTCCCATCCTGGACTCTGATTTTGTGGAGTTTTGGTTCTCATTTTGTTTTGCCATGTTAGATTGTGACAGAACATTAGAAATTTGTTTATTTTTATATCTTGAGATAGCACACATATGCAGACAAATCAGTGGACTTGTTTTCCACAAACAGATGTTCTGTGAAAGTGCCTTTCACTCATAGGACAATTTGAGCACCATGATAAGAACTTTAGGACCATGCTGCATGTGTGTGGTTGGAGCCAGCCTTTGTGTTCTGCAAATGGAAGGATCTCTCATCCTCCTGGAAGGGCACAGTGGAGGGATCCTGCAGGCAGAAGGGGGGCAATTTTCCAAAGCTACAAGTACTGCAAGGGGAAGCATCTGACTCCTTCCATTTGTAGGACCATCCTTGGAGCAGACCTCCACTCAGGGGATGCCCATGCTGGAGAGTGTGAAGTTTATATGCTTCCCAGCGATTCCTAACTTCCTGAAGTTGGACTGAAAACTCATTGATATTTGAATTGTATATAAGTACTGGAATGAAGTTCTCACCATGAAGCCCATGGTGAGAACAGCATATGACACATCCATACACATGGATATAGCATTCTATGTCTTTTTTACTAAATGCAAGCATTAGCCCATCAAGAATAAGGAAAGTTGACATGCAATAGGCTTATTCTTCAAGCTTGCCTATTTGAAGTGGCCACACGTGTTCACTTGGTTCTGGTGTTGGCACACATATAGGTCCTGCAGATTAATCACACTCTAACACCATCTTTTGACCCAGCATTTCAGAATGATAGCACCAGTTCTGAATTCTGCAAAGTGACCTTTGGTTGAGAGCTGACTGCCTTTTTCACAGGAAGATAGGTATAATTTCCCTCTTATTACTTGGTATCTCCTTGAAACAGTTCCATGCCTGCAGTTAAAATTAAATTCCTTCTTAATCTATATTTAAGTAAGGACTAACTTCAAAGAAAGAAGGTTTCCTTGCTCCTTTCCCTATAAAAGAAAAATCCTTAATTGCCAAAATTATAAAAGGGAATGTATTTTATTATGTGAAATGAAAAAGCAAAGTACCCCTGCATATTATATCTAGTATCAGAGGTGTTTAAATACCATATTTCACTGTTTCCAAAATACAATTCTGAGAAGGATTTTGCAGTTTGGTCATTGTCTTGGTATGGCAAATGGTACCCATTATTGAAAGGTGGTCTGTATTTGTACTAATACAGAGAATGCCAGTTTAGAAATGAGCCTGATTGCATGGTTCATTTTGTTCTCCTTTGTAGAGCCAGGCTGCGGCCCACTACAAAGGCACTAAACATGCCAAGAAGCTCAAAGCACTGGAAGCCATGAAAAATAAGCAGAAATCTGTAACTGCCAAGGACAGCGCAAAGACTACCTTCACTTCCATCACTACCAATACCATCAATACCAGCTCTGACAAAACAGGTTAAGCGATAATCTCTGTTGTGGTTTATTTCATTTATTATTTTATTTTTCTTGTTTACCGCCATGTCCGTTTGGTTATGTGCTTGCCACATTGATTCATGCTTGATCCATCATTCTGTGTAATATTGATTTCTTTCTTCTTCGGAGTACACTTAGGAGAGTAAGGTAATCATGACAAGTTGTGTAACTGATTTCTCTTGTGCACAAAGAGGCTTGGCGTCATTTCAGGCATGAATGCATAGAGTTAAGATGAGTAATAACTATGGTAAGCAAACAATTAAATGGAAACTCGTCAGAGTCTATATGCAGTGCTTGTCTTTCTGCAGTTGCCTATGACACATTTTTAGCCTTAAAACACACACACACAGAGCAAAATAGCACCAATTGAGACTGGGAGCATTGTTTGTCAACGCTTTAATGTCACAAATTTTAAGCACTGCATTATTACTATTATTATTTGAAATGTGTGTTGCATGATTTCAAGCTGGATAACAGCCATGTAACCTCACTCCTCACAAGCAGGTAAGTGTGACTGATCTCTATTATTTTGCTTTCACTGAACAATATCTTTTAAAATTATGGATTTAGAACATATTGTGTGACTCTCCTCTTGATAATCAAAAGCATTGCAGGCAACTGGTGAAGGTGAAGGGATCTGAGTAACCTGGTATTAAAATCTGAGTCACTGTCCAGGAACTTCAAAGACAGACAGTTGCGGCACCTTAGATGAAAGGACTGATCTTGTCACTTTCTGCAGTGTGTTTGTAGGATGCAAAGTCATGAGGTGCATACATAAAAGCTGTGCTGAAAAGAGTGATGCGAAATGAGTAAAGTAATTTGTTTTGATGTGCTTGCTGCTGGGGACAGGCCAATAGCTTACAAAGGGGTTTCCTAAAGTTTAGCACACCGCAAACTTGTGTGGCTTTTGTTTGGAGGACTTGCCTAGCTTTTGTTTGTGACCATCTGTTCTTTAACTGCTGCCCAGTAAAGGGGATGAAGTGTTAACACTGCGGTGAATTGATGCCTGCCAAATTTGACTGTTCCTAGATCAGACTTCACATTGATATCTAGTATCTTTTCTAAAATGCTCATTTTGTGATGATCTGATAAGATATACAAATACACATATTTATATTTGTATTTATATATTTGAACATTTATATTATGGGTTTATAGATTTACACAAATAAATAAATACAAATCTATTATAGTCTCACTGTCCCTAGCCTTTGCTGATGTGGCTTTTCTTTCCATCAATCTGATAGGATGTTTGTCTGACATCTGTAACAATAAAGACTTCAAACCCAGGTGATCCTTTCATATTAATTTGATCAGTGCTTCTAATGAGGATGTGTGGTGGCTTACAGTTGTCATCATTACAGTAACTTTGTTTAGAGGCTGAGAGGGAATGTGATTTGCTCAATAAATATACAGCAGTGACAGGATTTCAACCCAGATTTTGAGATCTTCCAAAGCCAACATCCATCAGCTTAGATGGTATTGGCTCAGAATATTTGTAAGATGTTCCACAGAGCAAAATGTACAGAAATGCCGAATGATTGTAATTTCATGCACTGCAAACTTGTGACAGTTGCATCAAAAATGTAAATTGAAGGGGAAATGCCATGGAGGCATAGATTTATGAAAAGTAAGGTCTCTTCTTGGCAAGCAAGGGAAAGTACAAGGAAAACAATGGCTTGATCAGTACAGAGCAATCATGGCAACCAGGTGTGGCATCATGACAGAGCTTGCATTCTGCATAATTTTAAATCTTATCTGGAATATTTGTTCTTCTTTAAAGTGCTGTTTGAGCAGTACAAGCATGTTTAGTGCTTCCTATGTGATTCTATACAAGCAACCTGCCCTGCCTGCTTGAATCCACAGGACCAACTCACAGCCATACTTTGAAACTCTTCTAGTAACCAATGAAGCTTTTCTAAATGAGTTACATGCTCACCAGAAGCTGGTCTGAATCAAAAGTCCATTTGCTGTAAAGGTTTCAAACACCATGTAAATTATAACCAAACAAACTGTAACTAAGACTTGTTCCATTGTAGCAAGATCTGTTATTTCCACGAACATACACAGTGGACAGTGCTGAAACGTGAGCATTCAGGTACTGAGCTGAATGCAGGAGTACACCTAAATGACCAACTGAGCATACTAGTACAGTGCAAACCTAACTAAGGCAGGCTAAACCCTTAATTCTTCAGCTGTCTTTCTATTGATCAGGATTATGCTGTGTTGTCTGAATTAAGCTTCAGTTTATTTACTGTTCCATTACCAACGCTGGACCTTGATTGAGATGTCAGCCCTGCTAGGGTGGATAAATGACTTAAGAACTGTACTGTTGTATCTAAGACAAAAGTACTCTTGAAATTACTAGTAGTGACAAGTACACTGCAAAGTCAAGCTCAATCTTTGTATGGTGGGCACATCGAAAGTATTAAAGGGTCACAACAAAGTTGTACATATGGCATGGTACAGATTCATCGCATCAGAATAGCTTGATTTTGAATGTTTTGGATGGCAGACAAGGATAAACAAAACATCAGCACTAGTGAGCTTAGTCAGTGGTGGGGGATGATGATAGTTGAAGGCCAAAACATCTAGAAGATCAGAGGTTGCCCACCCTTGCCCTAACATTAGGACATTCTCAGATGCAAGCTAAAAATGTTCCTTTGCAAATGATTCAATACAAATTAATATACTTTGACTGAAAATGCATCTATGAAAGTGACCCTATGCAAATTAACTGAATCACATTGGAAATTTTCATCATTGGATGCAGGTATGGGCACTACCTTGCCATACTTGTAGGTTTGGGGATCACTAGGAGTTCTTAATTAACTTTTAAGAGAGTATATTTATATGGGTTCCATGTTGCAGAATTTGTACAAAAGCCACAATAAAGGAAGGGTTCATGGTACCAGGTGTTTTGGGATTTGGTGGCTAACATGGACAGGAAACACAGTAAAGAAGTGAAAGACTGAATCTTATTATTTTGTTAGGAATTATTATATAGAATGTAAGCTGTCAACTGTATTAGAAAAATATTGGTTTCTTTAGCAGTTTTACAAAATGGCACTCTGGGTGGTTTTTCTATTTACTTTAGATTTTTAAAGCCTTGTTGCTGGGCAATGGATGATGCTAATTTTATACATTAAATAGATTAATTTGCAGAAATGATGAACAGTAGTTTTACAGCTGGAAGAGGAGCCAATATTAGTAATGTGAAGATTGGGAAAAATGCTTTGTTTTGGTTTGCTTGGCTTTGTTTAAGCACAGCAGTGTAAAATAATGCCATTTAAAACCATTTAATTTATACAGTTTTGCAGTATCATTTGGAATAATGAGCCTTTTTCTCAAGCCTTTTAGTTTAAATCCAGTAAAATTAAACAGAAATAGCTAAAATGATGCAAAAGACTGATATTTCAAGTTTTCATTATTGTGACTTGACAGATAACTCTTGACTAGGTGGTATGGTGGTAATAATTTTCCTTAAAGACCAGTTTTTCCCTATATACCCTGGGGAGACATGCAAGAGAGCTATAAGGCAGCAGGCTACCAAATATGTTAGATGCATCGAGTCTTGGGTTCTGCTTTAATCCTAGACATCTCCAGATAAGGAATTACATATATCAGTACTGAGAAATGAACATTCATCCTGAAACACTGGACAGTGAGTTACAGCAATGAGCTTAACAAATGTTTCCTCTGATCCGCTAGGCAGAAGCTCCTTATACTGAATTATTCCTCTCATTCCTTCTCTGCACCAGGGCTAGGAAAACTGGTGTTTTGGATTACAACTCCCATAAGACCTGGCCAACTTGGCCAAGAAGCAGGGGTTGCAAGAGTAGGAGCCCAAAACTTCTGGAGGGCACGAGGAAGCCTGCTTCTGAGCTACTAAAAGAAAGAATGTTTGTACCCCTTATTAAAGGCTCATATGGACCCAATTGAATCTTGGGGAAATAGGCCAGATAAAACAAGTATTTATAAACTAACATTAGTGAGAGAAAACATAGGCATTAATGAGGAACCCTGTCTACTAAGGCTTTTCCTTGAAAAAATAGGTCCTTATTTCTACTGATGTCTTTGGAAAGATCTTTAAAAACAAAGCAAAACAGTTTTATAACAGTGAGTTTCAAAGATTAATGTGTGAACTGAAGCAAGTTGAGAGAAGGTCATATTGCCATTACCACCACTCCATCTTGTGCAAGCAGTGGTTAAATTGTAGATAACATGTCAGCAGCAGCACATTGGTCAAGCTTTCATCTTCCTGGACAAAATGTCATCTGAAAATGCTCAGTGCCTGGTCATGAAGATCTTGGGAATGACCACTCAATGCGCTACCAGGAGCAGGATGGCAAAGAGCCATTTGTTATCTTGCTTACCCCATTAGCGTCTTGGCAGAGAATGATTCCGGCAGGTGGCCAAAGGCAAGTCAGAGCCAGTTCAGAGCAAGACCAGTTGAACCAGCAAATGAACATGTCCTAGAGTGTGTTCCCATGGCACTTTTGAAAGTCCTATAAACTATAACCTTTCTCCACAAGAGGAAAAAAAAAACAATGTATATGGGATATAAGTGCAATGTAATCATTCTATTTATTTATTTAAGAATTGTATACCATCCTCTCAGCTATGCTGGCTCTCTGAGCAGTTTGCACTCAATAAAATGCAAATATAATACAATATATTAAGCAGATTAACAATCAATAAAATGTTCTGATTAAAATAGGTAAAACAAAATAATGTGGAATGTAATTAAACAAGTTAGTAAATATAAAATACCAATAAAAACAAGTAGCAGAACCGATCTTAATAACATATAATTAAACATTAAAATGCTGAGTGAATAAAAATGTTTTTTGGCTGGTGCCAGAACGTGTACAGCGTTGGCACCATGAGTATTTCTCTGGGAAGTCAATTCTTTATAGAAGGTGCCGCTACCAAAAAGGCCCTTCCCGAAGTAGCTGCCCTCTTCACATTCTTTAAAGGTG